GCTGTCCCCAACCACCCAGCTGTCCCTGGCTTTGTAGGAGCAGCTGTCACCCACTTCCCAAAAAACGGTCAGGGGCAGAGGAGGCCCTGGAAGAGCGGGAAGCGCCCCAGGAGCCGGCCTGCTGGAGAAGGTGTGTGTGTGTGGGGGGGGGTCCCGCGGCCATCACCGGTGTGCACGCTCAGGCACCTCTTGCACCCACAGGCGCACCCTGTGCCTCACTCTGCTAACGACTTTCACACCCCGACGGTGCCCTCCCGCCTCCCCCAGAGAGGAGCCTTTCCGGGAAGGGCTGGGTGTTGGGAGCGTGTCTACCCCCCACCCCCACCCCACCGACGAGGGGGTGGGGGGGGCAGGGAGGGGGCCGCAGCTCCTGTGGCCCAGATGTACGAGGGCGGGGGGGACGGGGAGGCGACCACCGGGGGTTTCCTGAGCCAGCCACCCCCGCCGGCCCCAGCTCTTTCATGTCGCTGCCCTCCCCCGTCCCAGCCCCGAGCCGAGCAGCTGCACCCCGCTCCCCGCCCAGCCTCTCTCCCAGCTGTCTTTGGGGTGGGGCTGGGCAGCTGGGAAACAGCTGCAAGGTGGCGGGGGGGGGGGGGGCACTCGGGTGCCCCCTGCAACAGCCGGAAGCAGTCTCCGTGCCCAGGGCGCGGTGCAGGGGGCCGGGGAGCGAGGCCTGGGGCGGGTCGCTCCTCCGCCCCTCCCCCAGCGCATCTGGCCGGGCCAGCTGAGCGCCGGGCCGACCGGGATCAAAGCCCCTCCCGGCTTCAAAGCCCCCCTGGGGGTAGGGGGGGGGCAGCGCGGGCGGGGAAGCCGCTGAGTCAGGGCTCCGGGCCCCTCTCTTTCAGCCGAGCCCCCGCGCTCTAACCTCGCTTCTGGGTTCCTCCACGCCCGGTTCGCACCCACCCACTCAGCTCCTACGGCGGTCACCGTGCCCTTTCCTCAGACACCTTCATGTTCTCCCCTCTGAGGGTGGGGAAGATCCGATGAACACTTTCAGGATCAGACCTGGCTGCCTGGGGATTCCCTGCCCCACCTTCTCAGCGGGCAAATTCCGGGGGTGGGGGTGGGGGTGGGAGGGGGGGGTCATGTTCTTACTCACCCCAGCTCTAGGCCTACGGAGAAAGGGGGCCTGTTACGCTGACTGGGGCTGTGGGGTGCAGGGAAGTGGCAAATGATTCCTGGGTGTCCCTGGACAGACCTCACCACGTTGTAGCCCCTCTCCTAAAGCGAGGGTCTCCCTGTATGATTTTGGAAAACCCTTACTTGGAGGTGCTTAGAAACAGTGGTCTCTAGAAACTGGGATCCTGGTACTGGTTCTAGAACCCTCTGAGTCCTCTTTCTGTGAGTCAAAGGGGACCCGCCCCAGGCCTCCTCAAATGACCTTGAGGGCACTCTTGGATGGGACCCAGACTGAGGCTGAGGAGATGGGAAGCGGATCCGGATCCGAGTGGGGGGCAGAAGGCTCATGGCCAGAGGTGGGAGACCTGGGCCAGCAGGAGGCTGGCCTTAGGCACATCAGCGTCTTCCTTCGGCTTCTCTCTTTCTTTCCCCAGCACCCCCCTCTTTCCACCTGCACCCCAAAGGCTTTCTTCCCTTCCAGGGGAGGTTGCCTTCACCCTGTGCTTTAACTCCTCCAGGGACAGAGAACTTACAACCTCAGGACGCTCTTTCTCCAGTGAAAGCTTTGACAGATAACAAATGGAAATCTCGTGGGCAGAGCTGTGGCCTCCACCCTTTCCCCCCCGCGGTGTATGGGAATCATGCCCTGAGTGAAGGAAGCCTTCAGGAGCCCAGGGCTTTTCCCTAAAATCCCCTGTCCCTGCATCACAGATGCCAGGGATGTACCCGGAGTTCTGCCCTGGGAGTCTGAATGTGCCCTCCACAGGCGACCAGTGTTTAAAAAATGCTTTGTGGCTTATTCCTCTGAGCTGAGACATTTATTTATCCTTGCACTAGATCTTTAATAACTGGATATTTCTTGAGGGAGAACTCATCTGCTCAATGCCATGTTATTTTTTTTATTATTTACATTCAGGCAGGAAGAGGGTGATGTGTGGTAGTTTTTAACAGCTTGTAGGATGGGGCGGGGGCTGGTTAGAGATGGCACAGGCAACATCTCAAAACTGCAGATAAGGAACGAAATGAAGGAGCAGGCTTCCAAGAATTGTGCGTGAAGGGTGGTATGGACTTCTGGTCTACCTGGGAAAATGGTAGACCAGTGAGTCACCTGACATGGATGCACTGGCTGCCTGGTTGTAAACTGGGTGTTGTCATCAGGCACTCTCCATGTTGCAGGGCACTGAGGAGGGAGGGAGCATAGATGCAAACAGGCAGCTCAAGGCCTCACCAATAGGGACTCTCCAGCCACACCAGCTGCCATCTCTACCCGCTGCAGCTCCCTGGGCTCCACCCATCAAAAGTGTATGCTTAGTCAGTCCTCCAGCAGCCCATGTGGTTTCAGGCCCCTGTGGCTCTTCTGATCCCTCTGCCTGATTGTCTAGACTTAGAGTCCTGCCTCCCCGTGTACCTCTCTCCACCCTCTCCAGAGTGAGGAATAATGAAATGACCCATGTGGAGTGCCAGACCTATGCTGGCACGGCCCATTTTCAGGCATTGATAGCTATCACAATGTTTATGTTCCTTTGAGCCGGTCCCACTCCCATGCACTTAACGTTCTTACTTGGTATTTTAACTAACTGGTTACAAGCTGCATAGCTTACATGTCCGACTAGCCTGTGTGTCCCTGGAGGACATGAAATATTAGTCATCTGTGATTTTCCGGAGCCTAGCATAGTACCTGCTTCATTCATTCACTCAGTCATTCACTCAGTAGGTATTTATTGAGGTTCTTCTAATGCTGAGCACTGTTCCAAAATTGGGGATATTTTGGTGAACAAAACAAACTCTGCCTTCTTGGAGCTGATAATTTAGTGAGGAAGAGACAGATGACAACAATAAACCAATAAATGTGAGCTGGCGATAAATACTGTGAAGGAAAGTAAAGCAAGGGGTGGGGGTAAGGGGGTAGGGGGGCAGGTGCAGGGGGTGGGGATAGGGCGTGTCACCAGAAGAGAGAGGGCATGGCAGTTTTTATATAGGGAAGTGGTCAGGGCAGGTGACATTGAGCAGAGACTCCAGAATGGAGGAGGCAAAGTCTGGGGCTCTTTGGAGCAGGAGTGTTCCAGGAAGAGGGAACAAGTGTTGCCTGGGGCAGATGATGCTTGTTTCAGGAACAGCAAGAGGGTGAGTGTGGATGGAAAGGGTGAGTAAGGGGCAGAGCAGTGAGTGATGAGGTCAGAAAGGCGTGAGGAAACAGGGCCACAACATAGACATTGTAAGTGCTTTGTCTCTGCCCAAGAGATATTTGCTGAGTAAATGAGTGAATGAACAATGAATGAATGAATGCCAAATGCCTCGGCTGCCAGGGCTCTGGAAAGTTTCATAGGGAGCCCTGTGGGCTAGAAGGTACCAGGTCATCTTCCTGGGGGGACAGAATTTGAATCATGACCTGAAAAGGGGGTAAGAAAAGCACAAAAGAGGAGGGAGACACCCCAGGGAGAAGGTAGGGAAAGAAAATTTTGGGGTGAGGTTGAGGGACAGGGAGGATAGCTCATCTGAAGCTCAGGGTAAGTGAGAGTTCATGATTGACAGGTCCATAAGAAGGTTTGGGGTCAGATCAGAGGGGCCTTGAATGACAGGATAAACAGTTGGGCCCTGAGTGCCCCATAGCAGCAGGGCCTCTGAAGGCATCTGAGTGGGAGAACTGCGTTTCAGAACAAAGTGGGTGAATGGCCAGGCAGGAGGGGACAAGGTGGCAAGTGAGGAGGCAGCAGCAGGTCCAAGTCAGGGAGGAGGTAGGGGGCAGGGGGCAGGCTGGCTCCACCCTGGGGACCAGGAAGGACTGGCAGGTCCTGCAGCTCAGGTCAAGGGCTGGAAGCCCAGACCAGGCCTTCTCCTTCCCGGCCAGCCAGCCATGGGCCCCAGAGTCAGTAGAAAACGCCAGCCCCGGGGAGGCGGCGGCTCAGAGCCAGAAGCTGCTGAGGGAGCACTGGCAGCAAGATGCCATTGTACGTCCGCAATCAAGATACTTCAGAGGAAATCAAAAGCACCAACCAGGGAAATGAAGTGTGCACTCTCTCTTTCTCTCTCAAACACACACACAAACTTCTGCCTCCAAAATGGGTCAAGTGAAGGCTGTGGGCGTGGGCTGTGGGGGGAGGGTGGAAGGGGAGGAGGCCCAGGGCTGGGAGCAGCCTGGGTGCTGTGCCCACTCACCCTTCTGGCATAGGGGATGGTAGCAGCTGCAGGGTGGGGTGGGACGTGAGGATAAATATACACCTCCCCATGCATATGGATAATGCACACAGCTGCCCTGCCTGCTTTGCGTTCATTAGGACCAACTGTTTCAGGAGCGGTGGCAGGCGGGCGGGAGGGGGTAATGTGCCCATTCACAGACTGGGGGTAGGGGGCTGCCTGCAGCTGTGCAGACACCTCCCCCCTGCCTGGATCAGCATCCCAGCCCCTTCCTCCCTCTTTTTCTTCCTTCCAACTCACCCCTCTGGCAGATCTGGGGGTCTCAGGGTGGGAAAGGGGGCTAGGGAGTTGGCTGACTCCTCACAGGAGCTGGGGGAATTGAAGGGATGGTTGGGCTAGATTGCATCCCCTGGCCCCAGGATGGGCTGTTGCTTACAAACTAAAGCTCCTTATCCCCTTCTTTCCAAATGCCATCTGCAGCATCCAGGCAGGAAAACGTTTTGGTCCTGTCATCTGGAGGCTCCAGGGAGGCCCCATTCATGTTCACAAGCCTTAGATCAGATCTGTGCCCCCAGACAGATTCCAAGGGCGAGGGGGTGGTGTGCCAGCATGATTGTATGTGATTCTGACATCTTGGCAGCGACTGCTAGGCTCCAACTCCCCAGAGCAGGTCACCCAGGTGGGAGTGAGGGCTGGGTAATTGCGGGGGGGGGGGGGGGGGGGTGGGGGGGAGCGTGTATTGAGAGCCAGACTGGTTGGTGTACTGGTTAGGGCCACCAAGTATGGCCGTGCAGCTTTGGCCCTACACAAGGACATGCTGCTGAGGGGCCCTGGGCTAGTGCCAAGCCTTGCACCCTGGTGTGCGCATCCTCTCCCATATGGGCCAGCGGTGGCCCAGGTGACAGGCCTGTCTAGTCTCAGGAACATGAATTAACAAGGCAAAGGAAGACTGTGGGTGGGCAGTGGCCTCGTGCGTGTGTCTGCAGTGGGCCCGTCTCTTTCCCCTGCGGTAGTCTAAGTGGGCGTTGGGCTGGATGGAGGCAGCTGAGCCAGGTCAGGGCCCAAAGAGCAACAGCTATCCAGCCTCTTTGTTGTCAGGTTGGGGCTGGGACGCCCTGCCCCCTCTGCTGGTGGCCTCCAGAGCAGCAGTCACCGCTGGGACTCTGGGGAAGGGTCTTGTGGGTCCTGAAGAGGGGGTGGCAGGGAGAGAGGTAGGCCTCTGGCCCACCCACCTCCCTGTTTCCTGGAGCCCCTCCCCCAGCAGGTCGTGGTCCTTCGTTTAGTCAAGAGGGCGTCCTGGAGAAAAATGGGCTTTTGAGCGGGCAGGAATCCCAGCCAAGCCATTGCCTAGCTGTGTGGTTCCAGGCAAGTGACTTAACCTTTGAAGGCCTTGGTTTCCTCAACTGGGGAACAGCAATAGGAATGGCTGCCTTGTAGGGCCAAGGGATCAAACCAGCCAATGACTAACAGGAGGAGCAGTTGGCTCAGCTTAGTGGCAGTCCTGCCCCCAACCCTTCTAGCTTTCAGCTTCAGGCAGGCAAGCAAGCTCTCCTTAAACCCTGCCCCTCCTTGACTCAGCTGCAGTTCTGCTGTTAATACTTCATTTCTGTAGCGAAGGCTTTTTGTCCTTGGGATGCTGCTATTCACTCTGGGAACAGAAACCTCTCCATGTCCCTTTGGGCAGGAGGATTCCTTAGCCCCTTTTCTGGGCTTAGAAGCCTAAAGGGAAAAGGGAACCATGCTATGAACTTGGAGCCCCGTAGTCAAACAGGCTTGGGTTCAAATCCTGGCTCTGACTTGTTCTTCCTGTGTGATCTTGGGCACGTGAGTCAAATTCGGTGAGCCCTAGCTCCCAACTGTGGGAGATACTACCTGCAGTTAATAGTGTTGCAAGGATTAAATGCTAACTGTGAAGTACCTGCCACAAGTGGGTGCCCCCTTAACAACCTGCCCTGGTCTGACTGACCCTGGGGGGTTGGTCAGATCTCCACATGCTCATGTGTGTGGCTGGTTGTGGACACACACACACACACACACACACACACACACACACACACACCCTGACAGCGCTGGACCAGCAGATTCACTGCAGGGAGTGGGAGCTCTCTTCCCTCCTCCCTGCCCAGCTCCTGCAGTGTTGGAAAAGGAAATTACTGAACAGATTGCAATTAAGGGGGGAAAAGAGGGAGAGGGAGACAGAGGCCCTAAAATGCAGCTTGACTGAGCGCTAAACTGTGTTTTTGCCCGGAGCCAATCAGAAGCCTCTGACAAGAGCATGTTCCCACTTACAAATCTAATTGCAGGAGGTGTGGCTGGGGTGGCCCTGGGAGCCCCGGTGAGGAGGGGGCTGCCAGCATCTCCAGGAAGGCTGCCGGCTGCTTGCTTGTTGCCTGGAAAGTTCGCCAAGTGGAGGGGGCCAGGTGGCAGGGCAGAGGTCTTGGGGGTCTGGGAAGGCCTGGATTCAGAATTTCCCCCAGTTATAATAGTTACCAATGACTTGGCATCGACTACACACTGGACATCCAAACTTCCACTAATCCTCTCGACTCTAGAGAATGCCATGCGGCAGATGACTATCACCTCACTTTACAGATAAGAAACAGAGGCACAGAGTGTCCCTACTGAGGCTGACGATTGCCCAAGGTCTAGGTATTTTATTGACATTTTATCTCCTTTCAATCTCCCTATAACTTTAATCCCATTCCACAGGGGAAGAGGCAAGACTCTGAGAGAGTAGCCAACTTGTCCAAGATCACAGAGCTGATTTATAGATGACTCCAGAGAACACACTTAGATTGTCCCAGAGCCAGGCATTCTGGATAGAGTTACTAGATTTAGCAAAATAACAAAAACAAAAAAACCGCGATGGCCGGTGAAAATTTGAATTTCAGATAAACAATTACTTTTTTTTAGTATTATAAGTATGTCCTAAATATTGCATGGGATATACTTACACTAAAAAATGATTCCTTGTTTATTTGAAATTTAACCGAATGTCCTGACGTTTATCTGGCAACACTAGACCTCTCTCCTTCTGCCTCAAGCTCCCCTCTATTTTTGCCAGCAGTTTGCCTTTAAAGGGGGCCCTTCGAGAGCCATGCTGGTGTCTCCAGACCAAGGAAGCGAGGCTGCCAAAGGGGAAGGTAAGCTCCTCTGCTCTAGAGGGCAGAGCCCTGGGCCAGTGCCCACTCTGCCACCTCCTGTGTGACTTTGGGCAAGTCTATCCCCCTCTCAGAACTCTCTCGAAAAGGAAGACCCAGGATCAGATAGTTGCAAACACCCTTGTCAGCCCTAACTTTCCTAATGTCTTCACCCTTTTTTCTGTCTGTACAAAGGATGGTACGAAATACACAGTTGTGGCCTGGCTGGTGTGGCTTGGTGGTTGAGTGTCGACCTATGAGCCAGGAGGTCATGGGTTTGATTCCTGGTAAGGGCATGTGCGTTGCGGGCTCGATCCCCACTTTGGGGCATGCATGAGGCAGCCCATCAATGATCCTCTCTCATCATTGATGTTTCTCTCTCTCTCCCTCTCACTTTCTCTCTGAAATCAATAAAAATATATTTTAAAATAAATAAACAAACAAACAGTTGTGCTGTGAGGACAGAAGTTACCCAACACCTGGGACAGAAATGTCCAGGGAGCAGTGCTGGTCAGAGGAGACCCATGGTGTGGGCTTGGAAGGCTAGGGGCTCAGGCTGCTGGGAAATGGGCTGTTACTGTCTTTAGCTCCCAGAGGTGGCAGCTTGCTGTAGCCTTCAGACCTGGGTTCCAGGCCCCTCCTGCACTAACAGCTCTGTGATCTTGGGTAAAACCCTTCACCCAGGCAAGGGCCTCAGTTTCCGCCACTGTCAAGCAGGCCTAATGCTGCCCGCGATGTATGCAGAGTGCCTGGTAGGTGGGAGGAGCTTACTAGTGGTTATTTTTATTTTTGTTATTGGTGGTGTTAATATTACATCCTTCTGGAAAAAAAAAAGCACCTTGAGGAATGCTAACCTCTGAAATAACAAACAGATTTCAGGCCCTCTCTGAGCTTCAGCAAAGAACACAACACATTCCAGGCGGCCTTCATTTCAGCTAAATTTTATTTGTTGGATTTTTGACAGACATCTAAATTATACAGTGAGTTTTCCACATGACCAAATACCACGTCCATTTCTTTATCATTTTCAAAAGGGACTATATAAAAAGAAACTTTTGATGGATCAGACTGAACCCTGAAACCACATGGAGTGCAGAGCTAAAAATAAAAGGAAGTAAGAACTTGCCCCTGAGAAGGAAAGAGAAATCAAAGCAAACTCTGATGGGAATCAAGGGACGAGTCCTGGAGAGGCTGACATGGTGTCACCCTCCAGGGCAGGTCCGGATAAGGAGCGGCACACAGTGAGGGTGAGGCACAGAGTGACACAAAAATAGCCACCGCTTTAGCCCAGAGGGGAATAAAGAAATTTGTCAAAAGCCAGGATAGAGAGGAGAGGAGGAAGGGAGGGGGCAGGACTGTGTCCTTCCAGCGGTCTCGGGACCTGTGGACTTCTTTCTCCCCGCACATTTGTACCCACCGGCATAATCGCTGACTTTCAGCTTTGCGCCCGCCCGACATGTTCCCCGGCTCAGCCCACATCAATGACACCCTTGTTTCCATAGTAACCAGGGGAGAGTGAAGGGGAAAGGGTGTGTTGCACTGGGCTCGGGGATCCAGCCAGGAGCTGCTGCACAGGGAAGGTCAGTAGGAGGGGAAGGGAGTTTTTCTCACAACTGGTCTGAGCACACATCCTGGCCCCCCCCCCCCCCCCGGGCCTTGGTGCCCTCCAGCCCTCTCCCTTGCACATTCAGATGCAGAGGTGCACAGAGCAAGTCTCACCCAGACACACTGGGGGCGGGAAGATGGGAGACTGGGTATCCCCTTTCTAGCTTCAAATTCTATCTTCTGGTCATGGCCCTGGGGGTGGGAGTGGGGCTGCGGAGAGGAAAGGGGACTTTAGGAGTATTTTGTTTTTACAAATGGGAGCTTTTAAAGTCTGCGTTTTTCAGGCATCTCTCATCTACCCCATGAGCCCCCAGGAGGGTCCAGCAGGGTTCAAAGGGAAGATGAAAGCTTGTGACATCTACCATGTCACTCTATCTTTAGCTGAAAAGCAAATGTGAAGGTTCAGAGAGGCTGTTATCAGAGGAGGGGAGTGGCTTCTGCCTGCTGGCCCAGGCCTGGGGAGGACTCTTGCAAAGAGTTCCCTAAGTTGGTGGCAAAAAACCCAAAGTATTTTACAGACTATCCACTGCCAAAGTTCCTATCACATTGTTCCAAAATCACAGACCTCAAAGCAGGCCGCTGCCCTTCAGCTCGCATCCCTGGTGCCCTATTTGGAGGGAAAACCCATTTTCAAGCCCTAGAGCCACATTTCCAGCTGGATGGCAGGGGGATTTTGGTTTCTTGCGATTCTGTTTTCCTTTGTTCAAAGTGGGAGAGGCCCTGGGGGAGACCAGGAAGCCAGAGGAGGAGGTAGCAGGAAGCAGGTAGCTCAGTGGTTTGGAAAACCCTCACCTCCTTTTGTTTTACAAGCCCTTACAGGTCTGCCCACAGCACCCCCGGTGCAGCTTTTCATGTTGGCAGGAATGACTTCCAGCCCAGCATGCCGTTGAGGCTGCACATGCTTCAGCTTCACCTGCACAACTTTGTCCAGAAAAGCTGGGCAGAGACGGCCGGGGCTGGAGTGGCCCCCCCTCTGCTCACAGGCCTGAGTGGGTTTGGGAAGGGCCACGTCCTGGGATGAGAAGGCAGCTGGCCTCCTGAGGCCCACTAGCCAGCCACTGGACAGTCTCTTATTCATTCTCTGAAAACCCCTCGGCTCAGGCACCAGAACAGAGTTCAATTCAGGAGCTGGGTGATGCTCTGGCCAGCTTTCATGCTTGAAGCTAGGGATTTCTTAAGACTCAGGAAAACAAGCTCTTTTTGCAACACGGGGTGGGAGAAGTCTCCTTCCAGTCCTCTCCAATCAATCAACAGAGGACACATTTTGCTGGAGAGAGGAAGGGGAGATGGGCAGCTGGGGTGACTCTGGCTTCCCTGGGAGTGGCCCCTGCAATCACACACCTTCTTCCCAGCAGCAAACCCTCTCCGCCTATGAGCTTCCCACACCCCCAAGTTGCCCGCATTGTAAAAATTGATCTTGAAAAAATCGATCTGCCTGCCTTTTCTCAGTGGAGCAGGTTCATGGGTAAGCTGCATTTATTTTAAAAATCTGATAGCAACGGCCTATTGTGATCATTTAAACACAGAATTCTTTGAGCTTTAGAAATCCCTTCTATAGGACTGCCGCGCAGAAGCCAGCTAATCTCAGAGTCGGCTGCTCCCTGCTCCACTGAACTGGAGAAAGCCTGTTTACGCTGGCCCGAGCCCTCCATGTGAGGGCTTTCTAAGGACCTTGTAATTTTTCTGGAATTAAACCTCCCACCTCTCCTTACATTCCAGATGTCATTATAGTCAAAAGTCATAAGAATTTGCTTCCCGGTATAGCTGGCTGGGGGGTTGGGATGGGCCATGTTTATGTGGTGACTTGTTTGCAAGAAAGGATTTTTTTTTCCTCTCCAAAGGGTGAGGATTACACACACAGTCTCCTACCTGCATGACAAGATGGTTTAATCATCTGCTCTTCCTCCCTTCCCCCCAGCAGCTTCCCTCCGGACGGAATGCAGCCCTGGCTCAGTTGGTGATGGTAAAAATCACTGACCAGCACCAGCAAACACTGTCCGTGCTTCCAAAACCATGGGGAGAGCAAGGGACAGGTCAGTAAATAAATGAACGCAGCATAAGCTGCTTCTTTCTCTTTTCCTTTTCTTTTTTTTTGAAAGAAGAAGAAGAAGAAAAAAAAAAGCCCACTGGAATTGTCTGAACTGCAATGCAATCTCTTGCTCATTTAAAAGATCTCATTTTCTAATCATGTGATTTGAGACATTTAATACTATTTCAATTATGCAGAGGAAATAATATAATTCCTTTATTTGAAAAATGATACTGAACCTCAGAGATCAGTTAAATCTACTGCTGGAATAGGGATTCTTTTTAAACTGTGTTGTACCCTCTCTTCAAACAGCTGTAGCTGTACACAGATGGAAAAACATTTGGTCAGAAAGCAGCAAATTAGTGTTTTTCAGGACAGAATTCAGCTCCCGAAGCTCCTGCATCTCCATTCGTCTAGATTTTATTTCTTCTTTGCAATGACATTTTTGCAGACCCAGTTCATGCCGTCCTTTGAGGGAAATGGGCAGAGAAAGGCAGTGTTAGTTATAAGACAGACACTATACACGCAAGCCCAGGAGGGGGGTAGGGGGGTGTGGGCCTCCCCTCCCCTACCCCCAGCTCCAGCGAGTCTGTCCCAGGGGCCCACCTGGGTGACCAGGGATAGTGACCTCGTGGGGAGGCCTCTGAGAGCACAGGAGGGAGAGAGGAGTGGGAGTGCCAGTGTCTGAACTTGAGATGGGCTCTCAGGAACTCCCTCTGAAAAAATAAACACATCTGCTTGGATCCAAGGCCTGATTGAGGCGCTATCAGGAAAGATTCCAGCCCTTTTTGGCTTTTTCTAAAAGCTGACCTTTGCTCGGGCATTCCATTCAATAAGCCACCCTTCTGGTGCCCGGTGTGTTTACAGTGTGGCAGTGTGCACGGCTTAAATTAAATTTCTTTTTGGAAAAACAAACCAAATGCAGTGTGTGTTACTAGACACACACTAGGGCAATGTACATTTATTTCTCTTCGTGCAGCTCTCCAGATCGGTTTAGAAAGTCCGGGCCTGATTCTTGTAGCTTTAAGCACTACCAAGCTGAGGGACTGGGGAGAAGGTTCCCTTAAAGGCACAGTGACCTTGAAAGCGTCCTCTCTTAGAAGGCTGGAGAGGGACAGAGGTAAAACCACACAATGCCTACAGCCACCTGGCAGGCGGCATGATTTCTCCTGGATGCCAGACCTGCCAGAGATGACCTCCTTTTCAACCCACTTTGGAGCCACCCTTGAATACTCTCCCTTCCCCTAGAGCAGTGGTTCTCAACCTTGGCTGCACATTAGAATCACCTGGGAATCTTTTTAAAATCCTGATTTCTGGGACTCATCCTCTGGAAATTCTGTTTCTTTGTTACTAATGTTGTGGCCTCACCCCATAACAAAGAAACAGAATTTCCGGAGGATGAGGCCCAGAAATCAGGAGTTTCAAAAGGTTCCCAGGTGATTCTAATGTGCAGCCAAGGTTGAGAACCACTGCCCTAGAGTCTCTCCGACCTTCAGGGGTGTGCAGAGTTCCTTTGGAAGCTCAGAACAAAATCAAAGCAGGATCCTGCACAAATCCCCTCTCCCCACTCCCCCCGAGTCTGCAATACGTGCTTGCTGAGGTCCCAGTCACATGTGCACATCTCAGGGCATACATGACACGCAGAGCCCTGTATTTCCTGTGACCACGGCGCTAGTGGTTGAACGTGAACAGCTGAGCCAGCTTAAAGTAATAAATATCAGCTGACACCTTTGGGCATTCAGAGCATTAATCCCATAAACAATACATCACTGCAAAACAACCAGCAGGCACCCTATCTCCTGGCTAATCTGACCATCACCTGAATTTACAGTGATTAAAACTCTGCCAGTTGCCATCAGAACGCCTGGGCAGGAGAACCAGATAATCTGATGGCTGTTCCAGAGCAGACCTTAGGGCATCTGCCAAGATGAGGCTGGCCGCGACCGAAAGCCTGAAGGTGGACAGCACCTGGCAGCAGTGGGGACAAGGGAGGCGGGATGCCGAGGTGGGAGAAAGGGGGCCTCCAAATACATCTCCAATTACAACTGGGTCAGCTACCGACTTCAAAAGCTGAGGCCAATTTTAAGACCATTTTATGAAAAGGATTAATTTAAAGAGAAGCATGTTTAATTTTAGTAGCTAATTGGTTTCCAGGAAAAAAATGATCACCTGCCAGGAGACAGAAAAGATTTTACAAATAAAAGAGGGATGAATAAGATAACCATCTTCTCTTTGCTTCCCAAGCTGAATAGCTCAGCACTTATGTAGCACTTTCCATCTTCAGAAACCTGCACAAACACTATCAAAGGTACGCACCTCAATATTTTCTCCTCTATGGAGACTTGTGGTATTTTATCAAATCATCTCAGAGAAATCAAGTGCTCCCACACTATATGAATACCGGTTTCCCCCCTTGTTTTATGGCTGATTTCAGGGGGGTGGTTCTTTTTATTATATGTAACTAACTAAACATGAATACAGTCAAAGAGATAGAAAAAATATTTACTCAGCTGCAGGAACCCGAAGCAGAATGTGGAGGGTGAGGGGCAGCCTTCTTTTTGGTATCTGTTATGGAGGCAGAGGGGATTTAAATGCGGGAGCCCTGCTGGGGAGCCATGTGCTCCAGATGTCTGTGAGGCCAGCGGTGGCAAAGCCCTTTCAGCCACAGTCCTGCCAACAGAGGGCGCTCAGAGGTCAGTACCCACCAGCTATCCTGCTGGTCCCTGAGCCTCTGCAGCTGCCCCCAGCAGTCTGGAGTGTGGGAAGCACAGGGAGATTTAAAAGGGGCCAAGCCCTGTGGCTGCTCTGCCCTGATCGGCAGTGTTTGGGGTTTGGGGAATTGTACCTTTCCTGTTATTACCTGAGGAGAAAGAGAGCTGGAGGTGAGGGGCTGTTGGGGAGGCACTAGTCAATGGGGATAATACCTCTCCACTCAAATCAGGACAAGCTGTGCCAAGTTGCCCACGGAAAAGGAAAGATAATATGTTGTCCAAGATCCTTGAGGGGAGGGTCCAAGTCAGACTGGCTTGAGGTTGTGTTTACAGCACCTAGCATGGCGTCTGGCCTACAGTACTTAATTTATATCTTTTTAATTAAGCCTTGTAACACCCTGTGAAGTAGGGACTACAATGTCCACATTACAAAGGAAGAAATGGGAGCACAAAACAGTGTGTGGCAGAGGCGGGCTGGGAACCGGGCTCTCTAGCTCCAGCACCCAGACTCTAACCATTTACCGGTTCTCAATGAGTGTGGACAAGTGCTGGAGGGAGGAGCTCTGCCTCAAGCTTATGGAGAAGCTGGGAGTCACCCTAAAGTTGGGAAAGAGCAATGCTAGTTATTTCTTCCTTAGGACCTCCAACTAAAAGGGCATGAGACTGGGGTAGCCCCAGGCCACGTTCCTGCAGAGCTTGGCTGCAGCTCTGAAGATGCCAGAGGCCGTTTTTGGCCACTCAACTCTCAGGATTCCTGGGCTGCCTGGTATCTGTGTGGAAGCTGCATGTTTACGTTGGTGCACATCCTAGCATAGTAACTCTCCACCAAGACCACCACCTTCAATAGAAATATTAACATTTAAAGACAACATCATAGCAAGAAGCAGAATCTTCTGCTTCTCAAGTTTAAATTAGTGCTCCACATCACTCTTGCCTTAATTTGGTAAAGCTTTGTTTTTTTCAAAACAGACGACTGAGAAAAAGTGATCAGTTACTTGAAGTAGGTTACTGCTCCGCTTCCAAAGAAGGAAATGAACTCATAAGTTTGTTTAATGGTTGAACCTTTATTGTTAAAAACTGGTTTGACCAAATTTCTGCACATTTGATCTTCGTCACGGGGATGACTATATTATGGCATGAGTAGTCCTCCCCTTCCTTCCTCCACCACACCTCCTTCTGGCCAATCTTGCTGAAACTGAATTTAAATTGATTAGCTTTAATTCGATAACAGAGACCAAAGTGAGGCATTGAACCTCAAATACTGAGCTTTGTTTGGCCTTGTGGAGAGGAAATAAATTTTGCTATGTCATGAGATTATCCTCTAATATGACCATTGGGGAAAATATAAGGCTGCCCTAACCACAGGGGTGGAAACCTACTAATCACAGATCTCAGTGGTCCAGCATTAAAGGCATGATGCCTCTTTCTATGGAAGGGTGGACTCTGGCTGCAATGCTCCCTTTAATTTGATCACCCTACAATGCATCCATCACTGTTCAATGGTTGGAAGGGAGCAGTGGCCGCCATGGTTGGGTGGGCCTGGTTTTTTATGCCATGAGGACTACATGCCACATCAGTAATTGCTTTAAGAGGAGGAGGAGCTCAGGCCCTCGCTGAGCAATGCAGCCTATCCCATTGTGTCACCAGGCCCCCAGGGCCAAGGAGCAGCTGGATGCTGCATACATAAAATATTGCTTGCTATTAATATTTTTTCTGGTGACAAAGGGCACTGCACCAGAGAGGTAGCAAAATCGGATGTCCTGAGCTTGCTTTCTTGGTCTAAAGAGAGGTTTGAAATTTTAAAAATAAACCTGAGGTCTGACTTGCAGATAAGCAGTTCCATGTACACTTGGAGTAAAAAATAACTGATGCCAGGCCTTGAAAGAAGTGGTAAATGTCATATTTAAAAATACCAAATTCCATTGGTATATTAAGGGAAAAGCCCCCTAAACCAAGGAAAAAGGAAAAAAAAAAAACCTCCAAGGAGCTGGGCTAGGAAATGTGTAATGTTCACGTGGGAGGTGCACTCTGGTGTAGAGCTCACACACCAGGACTCCGACTGCTAGTGGTCCTTTCTAGGTGAGACTATAAGCCGAACCATTACTCCTGTTTAGAGAAGGAAGGAAGATGGGGAACGTGGGAGAGATGTGAAAAGAAAATGTGAGCATGAGGTGGGGGCATGGAGAGGAATACCCAAGAGAACTTTCTGCTCAGCTATGGTGGAGGCAGGTCTCTGTTATGACAAAGGCTAGAGACCAGCTTGAAACTGCTGCTCTCTGCACTGAAAGGAAAT